CACTCAACGGGACACCACGGGACACTTGTCGATCCCACTATCGATCTCATTATCGATCTCACTCAACGGGGCACCACGGGACACCACGGGCCACCATTGGCCACGACGGGACACCGCGGGCCACCTTGCGATCTCACTATCGATCTTACTATCGATCTCACTCTCGATCTCACTATCGATCTCACTCAACGGGACACCATATGACACCACGGGACACCACGGGACACCTCGGGACACCACATCGATCTCACAATCCATCTCACTTCACTATCGATCTCACTATGGATCTCATTATCGATCTCACTCAACGGGACACCACGGGACACCACGGCACATCGCGGACTACCGCCGGACGGAAGGCGGACGGACGGAAGGCGGAGGAGCAACATTTGTCTTGACTTCGCCCTAGCAACGGCGGGTTCATTCCTCTCGCGTTCCCACGCAGCTTCGCCTCGCCCGCACGCACTACACGAACGAAACGAAACGATTTCCTGGTTTGGGGTCTTCGTTTCACTGCGATCTCACCCCCCCAACCTCCGATGTAATGTATATGTGTGTCTCGCTCTCTCGCGCGCTCCCTTCTCTCACCTCCATCCGTTTGCGACGCCATTCTTTCAGTATGTACGCACTTTCTCGCCACTGTCTATGTCTCTGAGTCTGAATGCTGTCATGTCCATTCTTTGGAGCCCATGAAACTGTTGCATCATTTGGCATTGCAATTATCATATGTTACTGTCTATTCGTTTCTGGGCTGTTTGGTTACGTTTCAGGATGAGACCAGGACCTCATATGCATCGTTACGTTCTCGATTGTAATCGTCGTATTGGTCATTGTGCGTGTGTTGTTTGCTCTCGCTTTGAGTCAGAAGAGGGGCAGGAAAATTCTGTACCTCCAATTGGTGAAAGCGGCTTTCTCTATATCTCGCCATGTGCAGAGGCATTGACATAATGGGAGGAGCGACGAATCATGTACAGACAGGAAGTGGCGACGCGTCGGAGGCAGAGGGTCAGTAGTAGCTTTGCAGGAAACAGCTTGCAGAGATCAACAGGGTGCTCATTCTCTCTAGTCCCTCGCAGATGCACGCATTTTCGGATCGACTCGAAGAATCTCTCTGATCTCCGCGCGAATTTCTTGAATCAACATTAGACTAGACCCCCCCTAACGACGCCTCC